GAAAGCTTTCTTGCAGCCCTTAGGGATGGAAGAAATCTAAATTGGCAGCAATCCTTAATTGGAATGATCCAATCTAGTTTGGCACATGGCCCAGTCTATTTTGATGTTTATCCTAATTTGAGTCTTTCATTAACTGATGTTAATATCCTTGATGCTTTAACATTAAATGTTAAAACTAATGGTTATAACTATTCTGCAGGAACATAAGTTTTCTGTATTTGTTATAGAATATATTTTAAACCTTTATTTACTCTTAACCCTAGATGTAAAAGAGTTGATAAGGATATTAATGAGACTATTCTCATAGAAACCAATTATAATAGATCTAAGATCCAAACCAGAAGATCTATCAAATGGGATGAAATAGTTTTCCCTGAAGGATGGTTTCTAGCTAGAAATATTCCTAGACAACCGATTGTTCAAAGTGATTTTAGTAATATCACTCAGACAGATGATGGAACTGTCTATGTTCAATTTGATGATCCTCGCAATATTCCTTATACTGAGACCAGACCTCTTTTAAGGTCTCATTCATTGTCTCATGGAATCCATAGCTTTATCTCTCCTTTTGGAACTAAAGCTAGTCAGCCTTCTAGGGCCTCGACCTCCTATTTGCGGGACACTCAGGCTCAGGCTCAATCTTCTGAGCCAGAAGATCATATTGAATCTTCTTCTCAACAACCTATTGATGAACTTAGAGTTCATAGAAATGGAATTGTTCATAACAATTCAGTTACCCAAGCTAGTAACATTAATATCCGACAACCTCATAAGGCTATAGAGACTATGTCTGATTTTACCCTCTAAGTTTTTAATGCATTTTTCTTCTTCAAGAAGTTAGGTCACTAGTGAGGGAAAAATTGATTTCACTCATGGTTCTCCTGCTAGACAGCTTGTCTGCAACGATTATTATGGCAATCCGAGATGGGCTCCTTTCAGGACATGGTATATTGAAAATTTTTCAAAAGAGGAAATTGCTAATTTCTCTGCTGATTTTTATGCCTTCTGCACTAAGGAAAATGAGACTTTCTCTTTTATTCCCTGGTTTTTTCATACTCATGTAAAACATTTTATAAATGTTCTTCAAAGGGATTATCAACTCCTTAATGGGGATATTAAATCCACTATTTATCCTCCTCAGTCTCCTTTTCTTATGAAAAACAATAATTCTTTCTTCAGATTCTCTGCTTTTTCTAATCTTATCAAAGATAATAYTCTTTCTGTTACTTCGTTACATATTAACGAATTACTTGAAAAGCAGAATTATTCTAATCTTTTGTTAAAAATTATTGGAGAACAACTTTTTTCCATTGAGGATAATATCTCCTTAATCTTAAAAAAATTTCTCAAATTGAGACAAATCAGCAAAACCAAATTAATCTTCCTGCTGATGATATTTCCTCCTCTTCTGAGAAAGTTATTTTAACTTCTAATACTATTCAGCCTTCTCCTGAGATAACAGATTTCAAACTCAAATCTCCGGCTGAAGATTTTATAAAACAGCTTGATCTAAAGCTTTCACACCTTCATATTTCTAAACCATCCATTTCCATGCTCAATAAGGATTCCCATTCTAACTATAGGTCAGAAAATTCGGATGCTGGTTTGCAAAATAACCAAATTCATAAAATGAAATGGGCTAAAACTCCGAATCTTAATAAATATTATTACCATCGCCCTACTCCTATAGATGTTCTTCATGAAGAACAAGAGTACATTATTAACAATAGTTATAATGGCAAATGCATTTATGAGTGGAGTCTTGATGGGTTTACTGATAAGCATATTTATAATATGGCTCATCGYATGTTCATGTATAGTACAGTTTGCAAGAACACAGGCAATAATGATAAGAGTATTGCCAAAATGATTATAGCTGGTTTTACTGGCCAACTMAAAGGTTGGTGGGATAATTATATTCCCCTTAATCAGAAAGACCAAATTCTTAACTCTGTTAAGACTGAAAATGGTGAGGAAACAACAAATATTGTCTATCCCTTAGTCCTTACTCTTATAGAGCATTTTACTGGTAGGTTCTCTGATAACTGTGAGAATATTCGAACTTTAATCAGTAATCTTCGTTGCAAGACTCTTACAGAGTTTCGTTGGTATAAAGATACGTTTCTTTCCCGTATCTTTGAATTAAAAGACTGTAATAACAGTCATTGGAAAGCCAAGTTCATAGATGGTCTTCCTCATCTTTTTGCTGAAAGAGTCCGTAAGATTCTTAAAAAGGATAATATTTCTGTTAACTATGATGATTATACCTATGGCCAGCTAATCAGCACTTGTATTGCAGAAGGTCTTTCTCTTTGCAATGATTTGAAATTAAAGCATCAAATCCGGAAGCAAAATTTGCTTGAACGAAAACAGCTTGGTGATTTTTGTGACCAATTTGGTATGGAGGTTCCTTATAAGAAACCTAAAAGAAAATTTCATAAAACTCGCGATAAGGATTCAGGTTATCGCCATTATAAAAAAAGGTTTAAGAAAAAAACTTTTGATAAAGATTTACAAAAATCTCACAGAGCTGAAGACTCTACAAAACCTGATGTTTCCAAACATAGAAAATCTTTTAAAAACTCTCAGGGTTTTAAGAAAAAYAAAATTGTTTGTCAAAATTGTGGCAAGATTGGCCATTCTTYAGCAAATTGTTRGACCAAGAAAAAGATCAATAATTTAAATATTGCTCAGGATACGAAAGATTCTCTCTTAAACATCTTTCTAAATTTCAAAAATTCTGATGATGAGCCTGATACCCATTCTGATTCTAGCTCTACTAATAGTACTTATGTCATTAATGAAGATGACTCTTATTTATCTTCTGACTCTGAAGATTTACAATCTTCTCCTTGTGATACTTGCGCTATTGGTCAGCCTTGTATTAAAAACTGTCTCAATGTTATTCAAAATAACACTTCTACTGACAACAATGATGAGTTTTATAAACTCCTTTCTCAATTTCAGGATCTGAATATTAATGTTTTAACTGATTCAAATACTAAAATACCCTTTTAACATGAATAACATAAAGACAACTCGTTGACCAAACTTAAATTACAACTTTCAAATAAATTTGGTTCGCAAACTTTAAAAAAATATTATCTATATTATATAATATAGTATTTGATAAAAACTCTTAAAAACCATTTTTATGCATGAAGTATTGTTTATTGATGCATATTATTTAGAATTTTATATTATAAGTAATTTTGCGTAAGTACAACTTATTAAAACTCTAGTTTGAAATTCGTGTAACTAACTGCAGATAAACATAATTAAATACAAGATAAACATTTATTTTAAATATAAAAAATCTAAAATATAATAAGATAATAATTGAGTTCTAACAGAATGTTTAATTATTATCTTTATAAAAAAATTATATTAATAAACCAAAAATAAATTACTTTGTTATTAAATCTAAAATAAATTATAATAAAAAAATTGAATTAAAGAAGTTACACCAAGAAAACGAGAACTATTAAATAGTTAATTTGATATTAATATCGATTTTATATTTTTCAAATTTTTATGCTACCTTCAAATTTACATTTCATTCAAAAATAAAAACATTATCGTTTTCTCAAAACCACATTATATATCAATAAAGACAAAAAAATAAAAACTAAACATTAAAATGAAGATTTATCTCGCTGTATTACGTAAGTATCCTTCTAGTATCTTTTAAAACAATTAAACAATAATATTGTATTAAGCATGTGTCCGGTGACTTTAATTGAAAAGAATAAAAAAAAAACGTCTAGAATTATGAGATCCAGATCCCCTTCCATCGCCAGAAGGTACGGAGGGTAAGCATCAACATTTAACTTATCTAATTGAGTTTTGTAATTCATAAATGGATTAAAATATCCATATTAAACTGAATCTTTGAAAACCATGAATTTAGAGTTATTATTGTTTAAAAAATGAGTCTACAAATCAAAATGGTTAGATGTCTCGTATAGTTTTTAAACCGTTGAATTTTGAGATATTCGTGTCCATGAAATGTGCTTAATACTCTAATCAGATATGTATCTGTATACAATCTGTATTTGATCAAGTCTTTAGAAACGACGAATTTTGAGGTATTACTATCTAATCTATGAAATTGAAGGTACCCATGGTGTAAAAGATGGATGAGACGAAATGGGTTGAGGTTGTACGTACCTTAAAACTTGTTGCTGAACAAAGGTAGCAGGATGAGAACTTGCTACAGAATTATACCAACTGATGCTATCCCCAACCACCGGCCACCCTCTTCTTCCCGGCGGTAGTCGTTTGCGGGTGTTTCGTTTCAAAGTTACAGACTTTGCCACATATATCACAACCACCAACACAGGGATCACATACCTCCATAGCACCATCTTCTTTACACCTAACTGGTGGTTGATGGTGGCGGTGATGACAGCGGTGGTTTTGAATTCTATATATGGCATTTGCTGGCTTTTAAACAGCATAAAAGTTTGATACATATGTTTACCTTATGCCCCCTAATGTTTGAGACATGTTTTCCTTACCACCTTAAGGAAATTGAAGTTATCTAGGGTTGTGGATTACAAGGTTTGTATTGAACTGATCACTGAATTATCGTTATTGAAACCAATATATTTTTCGGAGTTGATTCTTTTGAGTAATTTTGACGAAAAAACATTTAAAATTTAAAATGATTTATGTTCGAAAAAAGGAGTTCCGATAATGATTTCAAAGTCTAGTAAAATAATTTTGCTATATGTTGGAAATATGGCCATTTTAGAATAATTTGTGATGTAAATCAAATAATAGAAAAGTGTACGGGTGTTTATGAAAATATGAAAGCAATGTGTTTTTAATATTACAAAAAGTGAGGAGCATTTCAAGCACCGTTGACCAAAATAGTTTGCTATGAAAAAGAAAGTTGTTAATCCAAATTGATTTATTTGTTTATAATTATATTTATAACTTTAAAATTAATTCATAACATTTTTTTGTTTAATTTTAATTAAAAAGTATTTAAGTGTTATGTCATTTCGTTAAATCATAATACTATAGAAATTAAAATATTTATTTATTTCAAGTCGAAAGAAGTATAACTTTGAAAATGAGCAATCACCCCAAAAGAGGCAATGATAACTACAACTTTCAGTAAAATAAAAGGTAGCATGTTTTCCACTTGCAAAATTATATATATATATATATATATATATATATATATATATATATTAGCCTGTCCTAGTCATCCAGTACAGATGAATCACAATTTTGAAACATTATTTTAGACTTAAATCATGAGTTTGTATGGTTATTTTGCAAGTCAACTAATATATAAAGTTGAAGGTTAGTATGATGTATTAGCAAGATCGAATGGAAAAATAATTGCACACATATTGAGTTTCTAAATTCATATACTTAGAACTCATTATAAAACTTGAAATTCTTGACTGAACAAAGAAATATAATCATTTGTAAATAATGCTTATCCGTATATCCAAACTGTTGTTTATTTACGCGATGCACGCATCCGTAAATATTTCCTGCAAAAAACGACACAATTATTTTAATAGAAACATATGGTACCAAATGTGTAATAATATAATTGTTGAATTTGTCACGTAAAACTTCTTGATAGACGACGTTTGAAGTGTAGACTCCGACAAGATTGAAAAATTTTCACAGACTTCACTAACACTTTCGTATTGCCCCATAATATTCCCTGGGTTAGAAAACTGTAGTTTCTAAAAAAAACTACATTGGCTAAAGAAAATGCATAACACATCATGATATTCCATATGGCTTATAATATACCTTCACATGTGAAGGCTCTGATTCATGCATAAGTTTCTAGTCGAGCGCTTCCAAAAACTGCGTATTATGCAATAACATTAGAAAAGTGAGATTGAGCCAAAGGGCAATAGAAACAAGCAAATACTAATGGACCTTATCCTCAAGTATCTTGGTCTGTTCATCCATCCTTTGATACTCCCCTTCTTCAAAAATGATTTTAATATGTATTTAAAACTTGAAGTTAAAAGGGGTAAAATTACAACCATGAGAAATACGATATCCAAATAAACAAATTAGCCACAACAGGAACTTAAGGGTGTAGATGTAAAACATAGATTAGTTTGCAGCTAATCCAACACCATCAGTAACCAATTAGTAGCAAAATTACATCTCGGATCTCTACCTACAGGATCAGTTGAAAGCCAATGCACAGGCCAACAACCATAATGTTAAGAAAGGAAGTTCCAATGTTGATCTGAAGCAAACAAACAACTAAAATAGTCCTTATAGTCCAAAAAAATAGCATCAAATTTAAAATATAACCCCACCCCAGGCCAACAGAATCTGAAACACAATACTTTGTTCAAAATCCATATCAACCAAAAAAATACGAACAATAGGTGATCTGTCGCTAAAAGCTACCTTCTTTTAACATCAAGCATCCCTCTTTAACACACTAAAATGGTAAAACCGAACAACATTGATGCGTTTTTATATGTCGATAGGTTCAGAACACTTTGGAGCTTTGTAATTGTCATTAACAATTCTGTAATTATCTGATTAATATTGTAATTCTCTCTCAAGCAATCTACAAGAGATTTGGTGATCTTTTCTCTCTAAACTTCATCTTGTTCTAATTCTTGAAGATCATAATCAGATTTGTATATTTTGGGCATTTCAATTGGTATTAGAGCAAGCTGCAACAATTTGATTAGAGGATTAAACATTTTTTTTCAAGAATTTTGCACGAATTTTAGTGGATTAATCGATCTGTGTTCTTCGTCTGTTCATCAAGTTCTTCGTTCCAGAATCGATTTTTGGCTTAAATCGCTTGGATATTGACTGTTAATTGATAAATTCTACATCGCTGAATTCGCAATTTGATATAGAACAATTTTGATTCACATCGTTTTTGAGTTTAAACAAGTTTTGAATATGTTTTGATCGAATTTTGAGTTTTTGAAATCTGCTGGTGTTCTTCAAAAATTCATATTTTTTCATGTTTTGATCCAATTTTTTTGTGAAAAATTGTTAAAATTGTGTTTTTGCTTGAATATTAGTCCGGTTAACTCTTGTTCGGTTTAATTGTAAATCGCCTATAGCTTGATCGATTTAAGACTTCTAATATTTGTGAATTGATTTTGATCGGATTAGGTTAAACCGGGTAAGTCTTGATCGGTTTAAAGGTAAATCGTTGGACTCTTGTGCGATTTAGTGAGCGATTTAGGTTATCCGCTTGGTAAGTCGTTTGTGTTTTGTACGATTTATCTTGAAAATTGTGCGATTTATTTGAAGTCCGGTTGTAACCTGAGCGAGTTAGTGAGCGATTTAAGTGTAGTGTTGAACGATTTAGTGTGCGATTTATTTGACTTGATTGTATGCGATTTATGTGATCGGATTTTGATTTAAAAGTTTATTGATCGTACTTTGACTTTGACTTCTTGAATGGATTTTTGAATGGACTTTGACTTTCACTTGTGATCGATTTAAATTTTTGACTTTTTGAGCGATTTGATTTTAAGTGGATTTGATCGTACTTTGACTAGTTGACTTAGTTGACCTTGACTTGTTGACTTTTTACGTCCGTATTTCATTTTGAAAATTTGACTAAGTGTTGAAAACTTCCGATTTGAGATTTTTCATCCAAATTGAATTTTGTGTCTTGTCCGTATTGAGTTTTGTCTTGTCCGTATTGAAATTTCTTAATTGCTTAAATTTTGACTAAGTGTTGAAACTCACCAGATTTCTTTTCCGGATTACGTGATATCTTTGTGCGATTTAAAGTTCTTTGTTGTCTGGATATCTAATCCTAATAACTTCCTCTAGTTGAAAATTTCAAGTCTTCTTTGTCCGGACTTCTAATCCGGATAAGCTTGTGTGCTTAAATTTTCTAAGTATTGAATGTGTGCATATTCTTGTTTGAGATTTATCTGATATATTTTTTATTCTAATCCTTTAATACAAATTTTGAACTGCAGTTGATCCTATATCATACATAACTGATAAAATGAGCTCAAGAGAAGCAATGACTATTAGTAATGACACCAAGCCACCAGTGCTGTTCAGAGGAGATTATAATCAATGGAGGGACAGATTCCTCAATTTTCATAGAGAGAATGAAAGAAGGTGATCTGATTATGGAGTCCTTGATGGAAGGTCCTGTTGTGTTTTATAGAGAGACACCTGCTGTTCCAGAGGAAGGCAGACCTGCTCAAAGAGTCATCAAGGAGAAATTCAGATACACTGCACAAGAGAAGGAAAGAGCCCATGTTGATGTGCTTTGCAAGTTCTACATGATGCAAGCACTGACCAATGATATCTACACCAGTATTGACAGCCATAAATCATCTGGTCACAGCATGTGGGTTTAGATTGAAAAGATGATGATGGGTTCTAGAGTGAGAACTCAATTGAAGATTACTAATTGCATTTCTGCGTACGAAGAGTTCAAGGCTAAAGATGGTGAGAGTCTTGATGATGTCTATGATAGGCTTACCAGACTGCTAAATGAGCTGACAAAGAACGGAATCTCTAAAACTGTAATAGAAATAAATGTTAAATTCCTCAGCAATCTTTAACCAGAGTGGAAACCTTATGCTAATCATATCAGATTCAACAAATCATTATCTAATATTGACATACATGAAGTTTATGAAACTCTAAAGCAGAACGAGGAAGAAGTTTTGGAGATCCGAGATTCCAAGAAGAAGAAAGAGAAGGAAGTTGCTGATCCTTTAGCTTTCGTGTCTGAGAAGAAAGAGAAGAAAGCAAAGAGCAGATCTGGGAAGCAAATAAAGAAAATAAGCCAATCAAGCGAATCTGCAGATGAAGAAAGTAACAACTTAGATTCAGACTCTGAAATGTCTGAAATAAAACATGCCATGGCGATGCTGACTAAAGCATTCCAAAAGAAGTTTAAAAAACGGCCACACTCGAACAACCAAAGATTCTCGTCCGGCTCAAAATATGAATTTAAAGACAAATTCGGCGAGAAGAAGAAATATGAAGAAAAGAGGTTCGAGAAGAAGTACGAGAAGAAGCCGGAAGAGAAGAAGAAGTTTGTTAAAGGCGTAGTTGACGAGCACACAAAATGCTATAACTGTGGCAAGCTAGGTCACTTTGCTGTAAATTGTAGAGAGCCGGTAACTCGAAATACCGACTACTACAAAAATAAATTTCTTCTCTCTAAACAACGAGATGCGGGGAAAGCTCTCATGGCAGAAGATGATCACTGGTTAAATCTAACCGATGAAGAGGAAGAAGCTGAAGCTGTTGCACACGTCTGCTTGATGGCTAAATCTGATAACTGTTCTTCAGATGAAGGAGAAGAACAAAGTGCGGAAATGGAAGAAGAGGTATTGGAGCAATCTTGCATAAAATAGAT